TCAGCGAGGCCCCCCGCGCCGAACAGCGCAAACGCAGGCGTGTTCGGGCGCTCGCCGGAGCGGCAGCTACCACTCCGGCCAATTCGTCTGGTCGCGAGCCGCCCGCGCCAGCCTTCGTGGCAGGGCGCCAGGAGTGGCCTGCCTCTCTGTCGCCTGCGTTTCCCGAGGGGGCTTCCGAGGCCCTCGGGGTGCAGGTGGACAGCCACTGTCGGCTCGTCCCCTCTTGCGACGACCAGCGCACTCGTTCGCTTAAAGCGTTTGACGTGTGGTGCGTCGAGCACACAGGTGTGGCACTTGCCACTTGGGCCCGCAGCGGCATCTTGCTCGGGAGAGCGCTCGCGACCTTCGGCGTGTGGTTGTACGATGCTGGCCTCCCCCGCCTCGTCCTTGTGAATGCGATCCGGGGAGCGCAGGCTCTTCAGCCCCAGTGGAGGGGCGTCCTCACCGAGGCGTGGGATGTGGCAAAACGGTGGATCCCTTCCAAGCCTCCCTGTCCCATCCCACCGCTGCCACGTGCTTTGCTGCGCGCCATGGTAGCGTTGTGCCTCGCATGGGACTGGCCTGATATGGCCACCCTGCTGCTTGCCGTGTTCACTATGTCCGTGAGGCCTGGTGAGTTGGCAACCGCCCGCCGGAGCGACCTCACTCTGCCCATTGACCGCCGTGAGTCCGCGGGCGACGCTTTGCTGAGCATCTCTGTTCCGGAGGCCCAGGGGTCGGGCGGAGAGCGTCAACACGCTCGGTGCTCCGACCGAGCAGTGGTCAGGATGATGGAGCTGGTCTTCAGAGATTTGACTCCCACCGATCCCCTGTTGACCTTCGGTCAAAGCGGCTTCCGTACTCGGTGGCTCGATCTTCTTTCGGCGCTGGGCGTCCCGCTCGCCAGAGCGCCATCGGGGTTCGATCTGTCCCCTGCGCTGCGCTTCAGAACCGATATTTCGGACGGCATTACTCGCGTCTTCTGGCGTGATCGCTGGCGGCAAGCTTCCAGTACGGAGCGATATCTTTACGATGTTGCCGCCTCTGCAGTCCTCCCATCATTGGCTGAAGCTGCTCGGGACCGTGTTTCTTACCTCGCCGACTCCAGCGACTTCCTCGTCGCATCCTTTCTGAATGTTGGCCCGGCTGTGTGGCCCATTCAGCTCGCGGCCGCCCGCCGAAACCTTGTCACTTCGCAAGGGCTTTGAGCCTGGGTGTGGCTGCTGCGGCCTCCCTTGGCCGCCCGGGTGCCCTCGTTGAACGAGGCCGCCTGAGAGCGTCGCACGGCCCGCCCGCGTAGGCCTGTCCCGCCTTACGGGCCGCCGCGGGCGCGCGCCGCGCGTTCGCCCTGAGACGACTGCTCACTTGCGCAGCGTGCGGGGATGCTTCTTCTTATCCCCATCGCGCCCGCTGATTGCAGTCGTCTGCAGCTTCTCGGCCCCCTCCCTCTCTCCTCCCTCCTTCTTCGAAGGCTGACCTGCGGCGCTGCTGCGGCCTCCCTTGGCCGCCCGGGTGCCCTCGTTGAACGAGGCCGCCTGAGAGCGTCGCACGGCCCGCCCGCGTAGGCCTGTCCCGCCTTACGGGCCGCCGCGGGCGCGCGCCGCGCGTTCGCCCTGAGACGACTGCTCACTTGCGCAGCGTGCGGGGATCCTCCTCCTCCTCCTCCTCCTCCTCCTCCTCTTCCCATCATCATCATCATCATCATCATCATCATCATCATCATCATCATCATCATCATCATCATCATCATCATCATCATCATCCTGCTCCTCCCGCTTCTCTTCGCGAAGAGGAGGAAGCCCCCGCCTGAGGGCCATACAAGTTCACCACATCGGCCAAACAGTCTGGACCGCCACGACTATCACGGCAACCCTCTCAGGCTGTCCAGGGATACGGCTCTGCTCAAGCTTCCGCGGGGCTCGTCGGCCCTGCGCCGCTGGCTGCTCGCAGGGCGCCTGCTGGGCCTTACCATGCCACGAGCAGCGACCATCGGCGGCGAGGGAGGGGGGGGACGTGAGAAGGAGAAGGCCTTCTCAGAGGGCTCGGACGCCTCCTGCCTTCCGAGAGGTTCCCCATCCTCCCGCGGAGACGCAGACCACTGCCTCCTTGGGAGGCCTTCTCCTCCTCACTTCCCCCCCCCCTTGCAGGGGGCCGCATGCGAACCCTGCCCCATACCCCCCACGATTCCTGAGGGGGAGGGTGGGATTCCCTTCGCTCGGGAGCTCCCGAACGAAATGAACCCCACCCTCCCCTCAGAAATCGTGGCGGGTGGGGGCAGGGTTCGCACGTGGACCCCCCCACCTTCCTTGCCTTGGCATCGCTCGGACGTGTGCATTTTTCCCTCGGCGAGGACTCTCGAGGAGCATCCTTGATCATCCGGCAAAAGAAAACAACACGCACGAAACCGAAACAAAACACAGGGAATGGACGTCCGAGCGGTGGCCAGTTGCCCACCGCCAAGACCACCACTACACCGCCTGCACGCCACTGCTCGCCTGGAAGAAAAAAAAAAAAAAACAAAAAAAAAAAAAAAAAAAAAAAAAAAAAAAAAAAAAAAAAAAAAAAAAAAAAAAAAAAAAAAAAAAAACGCACGAAACCAAGACAAAAAATCCGGAGAATGGACTCCCGAGCGACGGTCAGCTGTGCTCACCGCCACGACCACCACACGTCGCCTGCACGCCGCTGCTCTCGCCTGGCCCTCCGCCGGCCGCCAGGGGCCGCCGCCTCCCAGCCTCACGACGGGCCGAGGGGCCGACCGCCATCCGCCCCCGCACACGGCCGCGTGGGCCCTCCGCGGGCCGTGCGGCTGTGCACCCCGGGCACCACCTGCGCCTGCCCAGGGCGCGCGTCGGGAGGGGGATGTTTTTTTTTTTGATCCGCGGGACGAGAGCGAGCCTCTTCCGCGGAAAGCTACGCGGGGCGCGCACAGCTTTAATTCGCAGGGAACGGGCGGAAGAAGGCGGGGCCTCACGCGGCCGGGAGAGGGCGAAGCCCAGGGATCAGGCGGTGCCGAAGATGACGTGCAGGAAAGAGGGGAAAGAACACACAGACACAATGAGTCGTCGATCCCCAGGAAAAGATAGGAACATATTGGGACGTGGCGGGAAGACGAGAACACTGAACACATGAGAATGTATGGGGGATCTCCTTATTTGTGTGTATTTATTTGCGTGTCCCAGGGCCCCTTCAGTGTGAAGCCCGGCATGCGGACGCCGCTGCTGGCCGTCGAGGCCGTGCCAGCCAGGCTCGCAAGTCGCAGGTCGCGGGGCGTCCATTCCTGGTCGATCTCTCTCTCTCTCTCGCAGAGCTCAGCCACGCGCAGAGGGGGGTGGGGGGGAGGGGGGGCTTCTTAGAAGCACCCTGCTTCTTAGAAGGCGCGGGCCTTATCTATAGATTACGCGGGCCTTCTAAGAAGCAGCCTGCTTCTAAGAAGCCCCCCCCCCCCCCCCACCCCCCTGTGCGCGCCGCTAAAGAGCGCGCCGCAGAGAACGAGGCGGTAGTGCTCACGGCTCGCCCGAGACACTGCCGCCGAGCCAATGCTCGCCCTGTTTCCCATGCGCGAAAGATGGACTTCGCGGAGTCTTGACGGCATGCCGGCGGAAGCCGAGCCCCAGCAGCACAGTGCTGGTGGCCCAGGCGTTCGCTTGGTGGCTCTTGCAACGGTTGCGCCTAGAAGATCTCTCTTTGCCAATGGCCTCGCGGGGCAGATGCGTTTTTACTTACCGCATCTGTAGCCCATGAGGACCCAAGTCTTCAAGCCGGCTCCGAAACTCTTTCCAGAGACAGGCCCAAACAGCAACGTGCACAGTTGCCCTGTCTGGACCACGTTCGCACATTCCCTGTAGAGCAGACGTGCTGTCGGTGACGGCCTCGACCGGTGGAACAGCAAAACGAGGAAGCTCGATCAGCGCCTGAGGGTCGGCGCCGGCAATGTCTCGGACTGGACCCTTGCGTGGGCCGTAGACCACATCCTCAATTCCTGAGGGACCTTGGGAGGGGAGCGCGACGATCGCACATCCCGCCACTGCCCCCACCTTCCAGTCCCCTCCAAAACCAGGATCGCCGAACAGAACCGTCTTGGCCATGGGGCACCAGTGCCAGAAGGTTGCCGCCCTCTTCTATGCCTTTCCCTGGAGAATGCCTCGTCCCTGCCGCAGCCCCCCAGGCGTGTCGGTAGGGCGGGCGGGACGTTTCGCTGGAGACGTCCTCACCATGTGTGATCCCGGCGCTTGAATGTGCAAACGTGTCACGGACGGACGGCGGGCCGTTTTCGGAATGCGGTTTTCGCGTTCGCGCCGCGCACATTCGCCTTAAGAGGTTGCAGCGGTTTGGCGGACTGGGGGCGGGCAGTTTTCAGATTGTTGTCGCTTCAGAGCCGCGCGCATTATTCGCTCAACCGTGCAGCAGTTACACGGGTGAAGGGCGGTGATTTGTCACCGTGTGGTTCCCGCTTTAGCGCCGCGTACGTTCGTTTTCTGGCAGGATTTTGGATTACCAGGGCGCAGCGATCACGTTGCTTCGTGGTGTTGAAGTGCCAGGAACGGATTTCTGACAGGACTTCGGATTGCCAGGGCGCAGCCGTCAACGCTGAAGTTGCAGGAATTATGTGTTGGCACGGTTTGGAGATTCTCAGACGGTTGTCCTCCAATGGGGGCATTTCCCGCAAATGAGTTCTTGGAGGGCCTTGTGAAGAGGGAATTCGGAGGGAAGGTTTCTTGCAACGCATCGTTGATGCGTCTTGGGTTTATTGGTCCTCCCCCTCCTCCCCTTCCTACTCTTTCCCCCCACATCCAACAGCTCTCGTCGTCCTCTTGGAGGGGGGTAGGAGGAGGAGGAGAAGGAGGAGGAGAAGGAGGAGGAGAAGGAGGAGGAGGATGAGGAGGATGGGGAGGAGGAGGATGGGGAGGAGGAGGATGGGGGAGAGGAGGAGGAGGAGGAGGAGGAGCAGGAGGAGGAGGAGGAGGAGCAGCAGGAGGAGGAGAGCGAGGAGGGGCGGGGGGGCGGGCCGCCCGCGCGCGCAGGGTGCCCAGAAGCGCCAACTGGCGAAGCTGGCGCGGTCGGAGCGCGCTGGCCTGGCCAATCCAGTCCTGCCGCCTTCCCTCGCGCTCCCATCCGCGAGTTCGCAGAGCCTCCCAAGTGGGGTCGGAGCAGACGGGGTCGGAGGATCGCGCTGCATCGCCGATGCATCGGGGATGCGGCTCGGCGTGGGCCCCGATCTTCTCCACGCAAACGCCGCCGATGCATCGGCGACGCATCGGCGGATCATCGGCGATGCGGCGCGATCTTCTGATCCCATCTGGGAGGCCTCTATTACCCTCCCCCTGCAATTTCCCCAAAAGAGTACGACTCTCCTACCGCTCCACCTCCTGCCCGAGCGGGGCAACGTTTCTCCCGCGTATGTTTGAACGTGCAGGGCGTCAAAGGGTGATGTTTATTATATACAACGTGTTCAATCGGGACGTCTTTCTTTCCCAAACTATTCGAAGTGGTTTTCCAGCTGCAGCGTGGTTTCTTTTTGAAAGGATCGACGCTGTGCTCCTGTGTAAGTCGGGCCTGTCCCTCTACAGGGGGGATATTCAAAATAGTCAAAACATAGTCTGGGGACTATTTGTTTAGTATTTTTGGACATCTTTGGAGCATGTTTTGGCTATGTTTTATTTGTCGTCCAAAATCCCCCTGTAGGGGGACAGGCCCGACCTAATGCTCCTGTCGTTCAGAATGCCTTGATTCCAAGGGCTCTCACGAGGGCGCGAAGTTTTTCGCACTTCGCGGTCCTCGTTCCTTCTCCCCCTCCTCCTCGTCCTCCTTTTCTCCCTTTGGAGGGGCGGCGCGAGAGCGCGAAGTTATTCGCGCTTCGCGGAGCGCGACGCGCGAAGTTGGGAACCCTAGATAATGCCTTAATTCTGGATCCGAGTCATTCCACGCCTTTGTCGCATCACCCCTTGTCCCTCCTCCACTTCCTCCGGGTCCTCCTGCCCCTCCCGCTCCTCCCGTTGCTCTGGCTGTTGCCGTTCCTCCTCGTTCTCATGCTTCCTCATCCTCGCTCTCGTGCTCATCCTTTTGTTCATCCGCCGCCTCATCCACCTCCCCCTCCTCCAATGCAGTGTGCACAGTTTGTTTTCCCACATCCTAGGTGGGGTTATTGATTTCTCTGCGTTGTAACTTAATCACCCTTACAATATCATCATCATCATCATCATCATCATCATCATCATCATCATCATCATCATCATCATCATCATCATCATCACCCTCACCCTCACCCTCACCATCACCATCACCATCAGCATCAGCATCATCATCATCATCAGCATCATCATCATCATCATCATCATCATCACCATCATCATCATCATCATCATCATCATCATCATCAAGGTACAAACCACCATTTTCGGCGCCTGCGGCGGGCTTTTTCTTACATTCCTTCCAGGTGGAGAGCCCGCGACCCACCCCGCGACCAACTCGCGACCAACCCGCGACCCAAACCACGTTCAGGGTACAAGCCACATTTTTCGACGACTGCGGCGGGCATCTTTTGCATTCGTTCCCGGTGGAGAATCCGCGGCCCACCCGCGACCCAAACCGCGTTCAGTGTACAAACCAATTTTTTGGGCGCCTGCGGCGGGTTGCTTTTGCATTCCTTCCAGGTGGAGGTGGAGAGCCCGCGACCCACCCGCGACCCAAACCACGTTCACTGAACAAACCAATGCCGCACAAGCGCGGCGGCGGATTTTTTGCATGCCGGCTGAGCCCGCTACGACCTCTTCAAGCCCCGCGCATTTTTTCCAGCCCGGCCAGCATCTTTGCCCTGGCGAGTTGCCTTGATTAGAGAAGTCGGGGAGCACAAAGTGGAAAAAAGCATTGCGTTGCCGTTATCTTGGGAAAAGGAGGGGGAGGCAGGAGGAAAAAGCAGGGGACGAGGAGGACGCGGAAGCAGAGAGGATGTTAAGGAGAATGTGGAGACAGATGAGGAGAAGGAGCAGGAGGACGAGGAGGGGGAGGAGGGGGAGGAGGGGGAGGAGGAGGACGAGGAGGGGGAGGAGGGGGAGAAGGGGGAGGAGGGGGACGAGGATGATGATGGACGACAATGGGAGGACGATGGGAGGACGATGATGGAAGGACGAGGGGGGGAGAGGGAGGACGAGGAAGAAGAGGAGGAGGAGGACGACGAGGTGGAGGAGGAGGAGGAGGACGATGACGATGAGGACGAGGAGGAGGACGAGGAAGAGAAGGAGGAGGAGGAGGAGGAGGAGGAGGAGGAGGAGGAGAGCGCCATCGACAGGGAAGGTAGGGGCCACGAGGTCCGCCGGCTCGACGACGCCCGCGTCGCCCGCGCCCGCCCCCTCACTCATATCCGCAACTGCGGGGTGCTACGTACATTCTTGATCATGCGCGCCCCGTGCGATTTCTTGGAGGCATGGGCTATTTACGCGCAGTTGCACTCCCTGTCAACATTGCACCAGCGCCCACGATCTGTCAAGTTTGATAGGAAGTTTGCGTTTCTCGCTTCGTGGTCGCTCATGCAAAATTAGATGTCATGTTGGGTGATCAACTTGGTACCTTCTGCTCAGGGGAGCACCAAAACAGGAACGGGTGTTAGGCTGGATACAAGCACGCAGCGAACAAACGACAGCTGCAGATTGCAACCTTCCATGTTATGTGGATGTTGAAGCCAAGCGGTGTTATGTCTTGCACCTTTCGCCAGAGATGTTTGTAGGTATTCTGACACTTGGGGAAGTGGTGCGAAAATGGTAAGGGCGAACTCGACGGGCACAGAAGGCGCGCTGAGGAAGAAGGAGCGAGGTAGGACCGGCGCAGCGACCCGTGATTAGAGGTTCAGAGCAGCAGAAAGGGAGAGCTGGGAAGAATAAGGTGGTGGAGGAGTAGCCGATGTCCACCTGAGACACGCATCTAGATTAGAAAACCCGGCTGGCACCATCACAATTATCTCCACCTCCATGTGCCGATCCTATCCTCCATGTGCGCATGCGATCGGTACGTTAGGTCCATGCGGCCATGGCGCGCTGGTGACGCCGGCGAAGCGTTCAAGGTTGAGTTCTTCGACGCGGAAGCACCGAGGGACACGGTGACGCGGCTGGACGCGACGGAATTCTACCTTGAACCATCAGGGCCGCGGTCGATCGACGTGGTGTCAGAAGCCAGCGTCGGCGTCATCGCTGCACGAACCTGCAGCGTGCATGTGTCATGCAGCGCCTCGAGCGAGTTCACTTGCTTCCTCGCTGTCCTTGCAGCAAGCCAGGCGGTTGCTGGAAGAGCTCACGCGGCGCGTCGGGCGGGCGGAGGAGGCCCCGCCCCTGCCGAACAGTTCCGTGTTGTTTCGTCGCACCGCTCGCAGATGGCATCCCGATTCGTGGGAGGGGGAGGAGGAGGAGGAGGAGGAGGAGGAGGAGGAGGAGGAGGAGGAGGAGGAGGAGGAGGAGAGGCGGAGGAGGAGGTGGAGGAGGAGG